CCTGTTGGACTATAACATGGTGTTGTGTGACTTCTGATTTTGTCCAATTTCTAAGCAGTGCTTTCCAGTCCCTAACTACTCACTGGGTGAAAAAGCTTTTACCCACACTTGCTTCTTCTTTTGCAAATCACCTTACTCTGTGTCATCTCAACCTTGATAAGTTCACGAGCAGGAAAGGTTTCAGTCTATCTACGTTAACCAACCTCCTTATAATTTTGAAAATTTATTAGATCGCCTCTTAGCCTTCTCCTCTCTAAGAAGTTACAACCTCTCAAACCTATCGTAATAACTGAGGTCTCCCATCCCTGGAACCATTCCTCTAAACCTCTTCTGCACTGTTTCCAATATGCTGACATCCAAGGACTAAACACTATACTCCAGCTAACATCATATACAACTTCAACATCACCTCCTTACTCTTGTGCGACATACCCCTGTTAACAATGCCGAAGACACAGTATGCTTTGTTAACTGCTCTCTCTGCTTGTCCTGCCATCTTCATTGATTTGTGCACGTATACACACAGGTCCCATTGCTCAGTCCTTTGAATATAGAAGTTGGGAAGTCATGTTGAGGTTGTACGGGACACTGGTGAGGCCTGTGCTGCAGTACTGTGTCCAGTTCTGGTCACTCAGTTATAGGAAGGATACTATTAAGCTGGAGAGGGTTCAGAAGCAATTTACCAGGACGTTGCCAGGTATGGAAGATTTGAGTTATAAAGAAAGGCTGGATAGGCTTGGACCTTTTTCACAGAAGCGTGGGAGGGTGATCTCATATAAGTTTATAAAATAATGAGGGGTACAGATAGGGTTAATGATAGTTGTCTTTCCCCTAGTTAAGTTAAGGAGTCATACAGCATGGAAACAGACCCTTCAGTCCAACCAGTCCACGCTGACCATAATCCCAAACTAAACTAGTCCCACCTGCTTTAAGGTGAGAGGACAAAGATTTAAAAAAAGACATAGGGGGGCAACTTTTTTACACAGAGGGTGGTTCGTGTGTAGAATTAACTTCCTGAAGAAGGGGTACAATTACAACATTTAAAAGTACATGAATAGGAAAGGTTTGGAAGGATATGGGCCAGGAACAGGCCGGTGGGACTAATTTAGTTTGGGATTATGGTTGGCATGGACTGGTTGGACCGAAAGGTCTGTTTCTGTGCTGTATGTCCTATGACTCCATGTGCTTTCTACGGAAATCTATCACCTCACGCCTCTCTGCATTGAACTTCATCTGCCACCTGTCTTCCCACTACACAACTTGCCTTTTTGAAAGTCTACATCGCTCTCTTCACAATGCTTCCAATCCACAAACTTTCAAACTGTCCGCTACCTGTCAAGATCCAGGCCAGTGATTTTCAGTTCGAATTGTGTTTTCTTTTCTTTGCTTACCGTCACAGGTGAAATCCTGAACTGCCACATCTTGGATCGGGATCTCCTTGAGGAAGAACGGCTTCTGACAGCGTGGGTTCCCACTGACGACCCTTCTCTTCCTCAGCCACCGCCCCAACCAGGCCAGGTGACAGTTACAGTTGAAGGGATTGGCGAGAAGGTTGCTATGGAGATTGGAGAAAGCATTCATATAACCTTGTCAATTATAATGCCTTCACGCGGTGAATCTACCTTTCATATAAAAATGAGCAAGGACCCTATAAAAAGCACTCTGAAGTAACTGAATCTTCTCACTGATAATTTTGACTTTGATCCATTGAATGCATCATGGCTCCACCTTTTGGGTTTTTTTTAGAACTAAGGGATGCAGGTTGAAATATAAAGATATTTCATTTAAGACTGAGATGAGGAGACATCTTTTGCTCAGAGGATCAGTTAGTCTGTGGAATTGTGTACCCTAGAAAGCAGTGGAGGTCGGGTCATTGAATATTTTTAAGGCTAAGCTCGAAAGATCAACAAGGTGAAGATGAGCCAGTGGAGTTCAGACCGCATTCAGATCCATAATGATCTTACGGGATGATGAACCAGGCTTGAAGGGGCATAAAGCGAAACTCCTACTGCTAATTCACATATTCTTATGAGATATACCTTTGTACTCGTTACTCAAGTGAAGAATGCATTTCCAGAGCTGCCTCTGACTGAACCTTTCAAACATGCAACCTCTGCCAGTGAAATGATAAGGGCACAGAGGCTTGGAAGAGCCATCACGTCCCAAGTTCCCTTCAGGATATTTTGTAATCAATCTTTTCAGAGATATCATTACACACCTCTGGAGCAGGTGGTACTTGAACTCAGGCTTCCTGGCCTGGGAAGTAGGGATATTACCACTGCACTGCCAGAACCCTTTTGCATGTGCCCTTCTAAGGCATACACCATCCTGACCTTTCCAACTACAGCACAGTTTCTTTACTGTCACCTGGGTCAAAATCATAGAACTCCCTCCCTAACAGCACAGAGTGTCGCTACACCTCACGAACTGTAAGGTTCAAGAAAGCACCTTGTCCAGGGTAATTAGAGACGGGCAACAAATGCTGATCTGGTCAGCAACACTTTCATAACACAAATGAATAAAATGAAAAGATCCTTCCGCAGAGAAATAAATTTGCAATGTGCACATGGAAAGAATTTTCTCCGCTGATCCAGAAAAGTAAAACCATAGAAGTTATTATAAGTACATCGTTTACCTTTCTATGTATTTTTCACAGTGAAAACCTTAGCATGTGAGAGTAATAATTTGGGTACCTGGATATCAATACAACCACCACATGTGCAAGTTCCATCTTATATTTATGGTTCCTGGTTCTGGACTCTCCCACAAGTGGAAAAATCTTCCCTAAATCTACCCTACCAAACTTTTAACATAGAGAACCTCATACTAAGAGTTAGCCTTAACTTAGGGCTTGCTAATTATGTATTCAAGTACTGTAGTCCACAGTTAAAATTGAATGACCTGTACAGGTATGGCTGGAAATGATAGACTGGAAGGGAGGTAGATTCATGACGCAAGCAAAGGTTAAACTCAACAGTATGTGATAGAACCGGGAGTGATTGAATTGATCCAGATTTCAGCCAATGGATGTAAATCTTCAATGAAATGCTGAGATAAAAGCAGGTAGTTCTCTGTCTACTTACATGGTTGAGAGAGAATGGAGGGTATTGAAAGCTCCAGGGGTGATGGTGGTGACCCGGTTATCATACAGAGACAGTAGCCGGACAGAGCTAAGGCCAGTGAAAGTGTCATTGTTGACACAGCTGATCAGGTTATTCCGCAGCATCCTGCAACACAGTCAGGAGAAAGAAAAGGGAACACTTCAGCTCCTGATAATCACATCAACATCAGTTCTCTTTCAAAGATTTGGGACAAAACATTCATAAAATCACCACAGTGTGGAAGCAGGCTATTCGGCCCACACTGACCCTCCAAAGACCATCCCACCCAGACTCCCCTCCCCTACTGTATCCCTGTAGCCCTTGATTTCCCACAGCTAATTCACCCAGCCTGCACATCCCTCGATACCATGGGGCAATTTAGCACGGCCTATCCACCTAACCTGCTGATCTTTGTACTGTGGGAGGAAACCGGAGCACCCGGAGGAAACCCACGCAGACATGGGGAGAATGTGCAAACTCCACACAGACAGTCACCCAAAGATGAAATCGAATCCCGATCCCTGGCGCAGTGAGGGAGCAGTTCTTTGTTTATTTTAGAAATATACTTTATTCACAAAAAATACCCATGTAGATGTACAGAGTCACAAATGCAGTTTGATTCTGTACAGTAGAAACAAACAAACATCGGAGTTTGACTCTATCCAAACAAACCAAAGGCATCTCTTTCACATACAAGACTATGTTTACATGCATTTGAGGCACAAGGAGGGTCGGATGACTGAACGGACCCCCACTTAACGTCAGCGCAGAGACCTCAGACAGTGGTCTTTCTCTCCATTGCGCCATGGCAGCACCTGCCCCAAGATTTAGGGTGTCCCTCAGCATGTAGTCCTGGACCTTGCTAACCACTGAGTCACTGTGTGCTGCCCCATTACTGGAAAAGAGTTGGTGAGGACATTGCAGCATCTATCTAGTCAAACCCACTGATACTCAAAACGATGATAAAAAAATGTTGTCAACCACTGAAACAAGTCTGGTTCTTCCCTTGGTCAAAATTGAGAGATTCCAGTGATTCAGAAATCTCTTTAAATTGTGTCCAGTTTCTTCGGCACACAGACACAATTTTAAAGATCTTTAGTTTAGAAACCATTTACTAAGAATCCAATGGTGCACAACCAAGGACACTGTTAAAGAGCGTTGCGCTGTTTTTTTTAATATAAAATTGTTTTCAGTGATCTTAGATTTCTCACAGGCAGCGGACCACAAACTTATTTCAAAATACTTTTGTGTTGATGATAAACACATCGTCAGCTGTATTAATGAAACCACATAAGGTGACCGCTCTTAAAACATAAGCAGGCTGACTTTTGAATGGAGAAAAAAAAATGAACAGTTCTTACACTGTCTGATTGCATTGTTTCGCTAAATACATAATATTAAATAAAAACCAAAAGAACTGTGGATGCTGAAACAAAAACAGAAATTGCTGGAAAAACTCAGTAGGTCGAGCAATCAGAGTTAATGTTTCAGGTCTGGTAACCCTTCCTCAGAACTGCTGGTAGCCAGGAAGAGTCATTTAGACTTGAAACGTTAGCTTGTTCTCTCTCCATTGATGCTGCCTGACCCACTGTAATCTACAGCATTTGTTGTTTTCAGTACAGATTCCAGCATCTGCAATAATTTACTCCGAACTTTTAGTTATGAAAACGTTGGTTTTAATGTAGAAGAAAGGGCAGGGGCAGGGATAAAGAGTAAATGATAGGTGGAGACAGAGAGAAAGAGAGAAAAGAACAGAAACTGAAACAACTGCGGATGCTGTAAATCAGAAACAAAAACAGAAATTGATGGAAAAGCTCAGCAGGTCTGGCAGCATCTGTGGAGAGAAATCACAGTTAACGTTTCGTGTCGAGTGACCTTTCCTCAGAACCTCGCCACAGATGCTGCTAGACTTGCTGAGCTTATCCAGCATTTTCAGTTTTTGCTTGTGAGAGAGAACGGTTGGACAGACAAAGGAGTGGATGACGATCAGCCTGGGAGAATGAATAATAATCACCAATGGGGACTATCAGTGACTAACAATGGGTTGTATGTAATAGCAGGCTATGTGATAACAAGGGTTGGGGAAAGGACATGGGAGATGGTCCTAAAATTGTTGGAATCAATGTAAATATTTTAGGTTTTTTATTATGCAAATGTTTTAATCAGAATTTTGAGTAAAGACCTATCTAGCACACTTTCCATAATATTTTGGGTGGAATATTCTATCCAAAGTTGTAACTATATCTGGCTACTTTCCATCAGTAATACCATCTGTGATCCACTGGTATAGTTTATGTTGATGTACACTAAAAATCCAAAGTAAACAGTTTGAGGAACAGCTTAAAATTAGAAATCCAACAAACTGGAGGCTTTTGGTATATAAAAAAGATTTGCTCTGACAGATGTCCTGATACCAGGCACTCTCCAGATACTGCAGATTATCAATGCTCTCTACTTACAGCATCTTAAGTCCAGAGAGACCAGCAAACATTCGGCTATGGACCATTTCCAGTTCATTTCCTGTCAGCAATAATTCCAAGACTCCGGAAGCCCCTTCGAATGCTCCCTCCCGGATATCTCTGACCTTGTTGTTGCTCAAGTTTCTAACAAGAGACAGTGAAAAATATTAATTCCTGAAGAAAGTATGACAAATATTAATATAGGTAAATTATACTCCATTCCTCTTTCCAAATGCATTTTCAGTGTAGGTGTCCAACATAAATAGGTTTTACGATTCGCCTTGCACGGAATTGGAAAATTAAAATGTTCCATGGAAACAGTCGCAAGTAAGATGCTGATGAAAAATGGACATGTCTAAAACCCATTTCCTAAACTCTCCACACCGTTAAAATACATTTTTGATCAAAATTCAGGCCTTTTTTATACTCTAATTTAATGTATGTTGTTAATGGGGTCGGTGGCACTGAAATTTAACACTGTCTGTGCACACTGTTTTATTAAGTATGCAGTCTGGCTTCCAATTCAGTTCATGCAGATGGAATGAAGCTTTCCCGTCAGATGGCTATTAAGGGTCCATGGTGAGATGAATTTGGGCAGTCTCTTTGTACAGTTCCCAGAGGAAGCAAGTCCAGAACACAAGTCTGACTACAATTCAGAACTAATTGGGCAATACACCTTGGGATATGTACAAGGATAGATGGTGTTGGAAATAGAAGTGTCACGTTGATGCAAGTTGGGAATGTTTGTCAAGCATGTTACTGGGCAATGTAAAGGGAACTGTGAACTCTATCTAACCTAGGCTATGCTGGAAGGGAAAGTGGTTATCATAGACTAAGATATTTCATTTCTAAGCTGATGACTCCTCACACACACACATAAACACAATGTCAGTGGATCTACACAAGAACAGAGGTGGACATAATGATGTGCATCCACACAAAAACACACACAAGGTATCTTGGTAGGTTAATACAAAAGGTAAAAGTGTCAGAATTGTGTAGAAGGATATTACTTAGAGAAGCTCAGCTGGTGCAACCATAATGTTTAGCTCTTATTGCATTAGGGAATTTACCAATGGATCAGACGAGTTAAGATTCGATTAGAAAGTAAGTTTTGAAATTAGATGCCTGTTATTATAGAGCCAGGAACCCACAGGCTTTCCAAATTGAATCTCAGTAATTGGAAAATCCACTTATAATCTACAAAACAAGATTGCAAAGCTTAATCACATTTCTCTGCGCCCTTTCATTGATAAGCCTTGCAGTTGTGGGGAATGATACACAGTGTTACTCTGGGTGTACCTACACAATACGAACTGCAGCGACTGAGGGAGGTAGCTCACTGGTCACTTAGAAATGGGCAACAAGTGTTTTCCATGCCATTGATACCCACATTTTGGGAAAGTGTAAATAAAGCTATAACCACACTAATGACAATTGAGACATAACGCACATATCATGGAATGAGTCCTTCTCAAATATCTTCCAAACCTTTCCTGACTCATACTGGTACAGTTCTAATGGACTAAAGAATCTCATATTTAAGCCCAGGCTTCTTGCTATTGGGTGATGACAAATGGATGGCAAGATGAGAACTTGCAGTTTGTGAAGCAGCAAAGTTTGTTTGAAGCAAAGATTACACAACAGTCACCCCAAACAGCCTCTTGCTTATTCTGCGATAAGAGCAGCCTTTGTAATTGCAATAAATCCACAAGAGGCCAGTATCCTGTCACCAAATCACTCACCTGGAGAGTCCTTGACACTGATCCAGCTCCCTCATAGCCAGCTGTCGGAGTGAACAGAAACCCCCGACACAGTGTGGAGCTGGAGGAACACAGCAGGCGGGACAGCATCAGAGGAGCAGGACGTTTCGGGTCAGGACCCACCTTCAGAACTCTGATGCTGCCTGGCCTGCTGTGTTACTCCAGCTCCACACTGTGTTGACTCTGACTCCAGCAGTTCTTGCTATCTCCGAGAACCCCTGACACTCCTGTTTGTATCGGTCAGCCAGGGCTCCCTGATTGGACCAGGTTAACAGCCCCAATCAGGGAACTCACATTCTATGGGGTCCACCTGGCTGACGTCGGTACGATCACTACAGTATTCGTCCATGATGCAGGCAGACAGCACTTTTGAAAACTTGGTCTCTTGCCTTTTAACACACGTGGACTGTGGCAATGTGGAGGAATCTAACTTGCTCAGAAACCCAATGGCAAAATCTTGCCCACCATTGCATTAGTGTCGCAAATGAACCGGTCAAGTCCGAATATTGGCTTGGAGTTGGTCTGAACTTGAAAATCTTTTCCTCCCTGCCTCTAAAACAATCCATCAGGCTCCCTAAACACCTGCTTTTTGATTGCCTGTTTAGTTTTTCCAGGTGTACATTATGAAGTTGGTGAAAGAACAGAACCTCCTCTGTGAACTTCACAAATTTCATCTGGAAGAAATAAACAGGCAACTGAGTGAGGCAGTGCTGAAACACCACCGTGCACTTCCCTGCATTTTCTGCTGACGTTAATGCGAGGACTAATAATGCTGATATTTTGATGGCGATCGCTGAATGTCCAATTGTGCTGGAAACCTGTTGGGGCCAGCACAGAAAAGGCCCAGGGTACAGGAAATCGAGCAGGGAGGTGGGTTAAGAAACACACTGTGCAGGGACAACATGGGCAAGATGAGGTAAAGGCATGCTGAGCCAAGACAGCAGAAAGGGGCCAGGAATCAAACTGTGCCAGACTAGTAGGGGAAAAAGTAGGATAACAAACTGATTAAATGGCTAAAACGCCAAAAATAACAAAGTAGTTCAGGAGCTGCAGAATTGCTCCAGCAGTCAGGGTAATGTACAGTCGGAAGCCACATGACACCAGGTGATAGTCCAACAGGTTTATCTGAAATCACAAGCTTTCGGAGTCCTGATCCTTCGCCACCTGACGATATTGTAATTGTACCCACTTCCACTGGCAGCTCGGTCCATATCACACCACCCTCTGTGTGAAAAAGGTGCCTCTCGATCCATTTTAAATCCTTTCTCTCTCACCTTAAAGCTTTTTACTTTTGGACTCCTCTACCACGGGAAAAAGAGATAGCTCGTCGTGACTTTATAAACCTCTATGAGGTCATCCCTCAGCCTCCAAAGCCCCAGGGGAAGAAAGCCTATTCAGTCTCTCCTTGTAACTCAAAAGCACCAATCAATGTCATTCATTGAGAGGCTGGCCATAGATTAATCATCTTTGACTTATTTTCTTGCAATAATTACAAAACAAAAGTCAATCTATTTTTCTTCAGAATCCTGGGAACAATTCGAAAGTGAAGAGATGGTGCATTCTGAAGCCTTGACAATAAGTAACTGGCAACAGTGAAAGGTGGAGGTTTTGGGATGTAATGGGCAGCATCTCAGTTTCCGAAACTCTGGGTTCAGGTCCCACTTCAGCACTTGATGGTGAAGGAAGGAGCGCTCATAACACAGCCAAACAGATCCACATGGATAAGGGTACTGAGAAGGCTAGGAGCCTCCGCCTCCAATTTCTTCAGTCATTGCTCCGGACTTATCTTGCTAACCTGCAGCAAAGAGCATCCAACACATTCCTGTCCTTATTGACTACGTCTCTCAAACGCTTCAATCTTAAGGGTCTCAGGAGCAAAGACTACTGCCTGCTCCTTCAAACACTCTCCGAATGGGCACACACCCAGTCAACTTACAAAATCTGGCGAACACGCACCAATGGCAGATAGTAAGACTACAGCCAAAAAAATTCCTGGTCAGTCACGCAGAAGATAATAGCGAACGACCGCAGCACCTTGCTAAACAGAACCATGGACCAACACAGAAGGCTATGGTGGGTAATGTTCTTTTAGCGTGCTGTATTTCAAGAGACAGAAAAATGAATATCCACTTCAGGGTTGAGGACTCATTAATTTGGATCTGCCACATGAGTGGCCCATTGTCAGTTTGTGTTGGAGAGGTCAATGCTTCTGAAGGACCATCAACCTCAAGCTATTCCAAGGGTTTCTGTTTGTATGTTGCACTCCGTTCAGCAGTTTCCCATCCTCTTCCTCCAATAGTGAAAGAATCAGAGTGAAACTCACTGGTTTCTCAGGTACCTGGAACACATTGTCGCACAATCATTACATCGCATGTGCACTGTCTGCTAATTTCCAATTTACATGGTTGATGGGCAGCACGGTGGCTCAGAGCTTAGCGCTGCTGCCTCACAGCACCAGGGACCTGGGTTCGATTCCACCCTCAGGCAACTGTCTGTGTGGAGTCTGCACATTCTCCTCCTGTCTGTGTGGGTTTCCTCTGGGTGCTCTGGTTTCCTCCCACACATGAGCAGGTTAGGGTGAATTGGCCATGATAAATTGCCCATAGTGCCCAGGGATGTGCAAGTTAGGGTGGATTGCCATGTGAAATTGCCCATAGTGTCCAGGGACGTGAAGGTTGGGTGGACTGGCTATGCTAAATTGCCTATAGTGTCCAGGGACATGCAGGCTAGGTGGATTGGTGATGGGAAATGCAGGGATATGGGGACTGAGTAGGAATGTGAGTCTCAGTAGGATGCTCTTTGGGGAGTCAGTGTTGACTCAATTGACCAAATGGCCTGCTTTTACACAGTGGCGATTCTATGATTCAATGGGGAAGAGAAGAACCCAGTCTGTGCCCTGCTACTTGAAGTGCAGCAGATACTGACCCTGATACTCTTTAGCCTATGCTTGGGATGCACAGAGCATTGTAAGTGGGAAGAAACTTTGTTCTAGCAATTGAAGTGTTTGACTCGTTTGGGAACTTCTGGAACTGCTCCATGGAGAAAGAGTTCTGGCAGGTCCTAGAAACAGGAACTGAAGAAAAATGAGATGAAAAAATCCCTATGGATCACCCAGATTTTATTTTCCTCCAGGTTGACTGGGTGTGTGCCCATTCGGAGAGTGTTTGAAGGAGCAGGCAGTAGTCTTTGCTTCTGAGACCCTTAAGATTGAAGCGTTTGAGAGACGTAGTCAATAAGGACAGGAATGTGTTGGATGCTCTTTGCTGCAGGTTAGCAAGATAAGTCCGGAGCAATGACTGAAGAAATTGGAGGCGGAGGCTCCTAGCCTTCTCAGTACCCTTATCCATGTGGATTACAGGCTCCAATTCTCCTGTGAGGGAC